AAAATCTTAGGGAGGTAAAGATTTCCTGATTTCCACCACACATTTGAGACTATCCCCCACTGCCACTGCAGAACTATTCGGTTGCAAGCTAGTATCCGTTCTAAACCTAAACTAGTCACCCTGGGCTGTGCTATGTTATTTCGAGGGGAAAAGGCAAAACTAGCACACTGCTACTGATGGTTAAAACAAAAACAAAGTTCTTCTAATAAAGACAGAAGAATAATTCTAGCAACAAGTACTGGCCCAAACTATATAGGATAATCAACCTAGACTATAATGCCTAAAAGTTGACTCCAGAATACGATCTGTACAAACTGCAACAGAGCCATCATCCTGAAAACACAATATCCTCATATCTAACTTGAATTTACTGAACGTAAAATAGCGATAAAACTCTTACTGAAAGTCTCAGTTGAAAAGTAACAATGCCTATTAAATATAGGGCACCAAAAGGACTTTAGTAGATATCAGTACCAACCTCCACCAGCACTTCTTCTAGGTCCTTGTTTACAATGATAATTCTTTCCTTATCCAGAAAAAGAACTTCAATAATTTTCCTTTCAAAGAAAAATAACTTCCAATAGATGACTAGGCAGCTGATACCAAATAATGTGATTTCAGGTAGCAAGTTTTCAATCCAAGGATACAAACATCTGAGCTGAAACCACAAGAACGATGTCTTGAAATACTAACACAAAATAATGTATAACTGGATAGCTATTGGGCATCTACTTGAACCTCCAAGTAGATACCCTCCCCCCGCCGCTTTTGTTGCAAGCCCAATAATAGAGACACAATTTCCATTTCCATGGGCACTAATTGAACCTCCAACCTCCAACTTGTGGAGGTGGAGAAGTACCAGCTAACTCAAAGGCCAAGTGTCTATCAACTGCCCCTTGGCTCCATCTCAGATGACTGAGCAAATGCAGAATCTGCACGACCTAATGCTTACATTCCTAACTCAGAAGGCTTAAAAAGCCTCCATATCCAATCAAAGAATATACAAAGCAAGGGTCTCAATTATATAATATCTTCTCATGATGACAATTTAAAAAAGGATAGCCTCAGATACAAAATTATATATTGCTTTCCCACGGTAACAATTCAAATTTCATATAAAACACTAATTTTCCTTCTCAAAAATTTAACTCTCATATTATAACGCAAGTCTTTGAAGCCAATTAGCAAGGACGCACATGTCTGCTAACATTAAAAAGTAACTCAGGAACCCATAGGGGAAAAATGAAAATAAAGGTAACAAGAAATGATAAAGACAAAAAGAAAAAACACAATCTGAAAAATCTTCAAGCAGGTAATATTCAAACCTTGAATCATGCCTAGCTGGTGAAGGTGACCGAGAGTAAGCTGTCAAAAAATCCCATGGGTTACCATAACTTTAAAACAGATAAGCACTATTTTTTTACACAACATCAAAAATTACTGACAGCGATATCTGCGCCTTGGGGACCTTGGCGGTGTTCTCCGGTTGTTTCCTCCATGTCGACCACTTCACATAAAGCATAAGAGTCAAAAACCATTTTGTTAAGATCAATTCTAGGAAGGTACATCGGTTAGGATATTACTACGAAAATATGCAGGGAAAGAGAAATATTCTGACACCTTGTGCGGGAATTCACACGCATTTCTTGAGGAGTTTTCCTGTTCTCCTCAGCAAAAACTATTCTTATCTCACGCCCACCAATAACTTTATGGTTCATTCGCTGCTTTGCTTCTGCTGCATCTTCAGCATAGCGAAATTTCACAAATCCAAAGCCCCGAGGTTCACTACAAGTTTAGATTAAATAATGCAATAGTTATTCACTGAAAAAGTTTGCTCATTAACCAATATTGTTTATTTCCACTTCAACAAAGTAAAAGTTCCAATCTTCACCATGATCATTTTTCTTCACCTGGATAAACCCCACATCATATGTCAAACTGTTAAAATTCATATAATGGGCATAGCAAAAAGTATCCATTTAAGAATGAACTAGATTTCAGTACCCTCATTATGGGCCAACTCAACTTGTGCCAAGTAAATAGAGCATAGTAGTCATAAGATTGTGTGATGCATGACACAGAATGGCTTTATCAAAAATAGAAGTCACAAGAAAAAGAAAACAAAATTGCCATTTTTTGACCTTGGCATTGTTAATTATGAAGAGTACAAGCTAGCCCTTAATCAAAAATCAACTTCATTACGTTCACACAAACTTTCTCTAACTGCATGATATTTCTCGATTTAAAGTGAGCCAATCAAAACAATAATCAAAATTATAACTGACAATAAGGAGAGACTTTTTCCTGAATAGAGCCGATG